ATACTATATCTACTGGATCCCCTTTGTCCGCATGTTTGTTGACCCCTTCAAAGAACTGTAATAGATTAGTAAGACACGATTTCCCTTTACAGAAACCATGTTGACTTTTGCCCAACAAATTATGTTCTTCTATGTGTCTGACAATTTTATTCTTTACTATTGTTTCAACTAATTTGCTCGGTACTGATGTTAGACTTACAGGTCTGTAATTGCCAGGGTCACCTCTAGAGCCCTTTTTAAATAGTGGCGTTATGTTAGCTGTCTTCTAGGCCTTGGGTACAGAAACTGATTTAAAGGATAGTTTACAAACCGCAGTTAATAGTTCTGCAATTTCACATTTGAGTTCTTTCAGGGCTCTTGGGTGAATGCCATCCGGTCCTGGTGATTTGTTATTGTTAAGTTTTTCAATTTGTTCTAAAACCTCCTCTGTCACTTCAGTCCAGGATAGTTCCTCAGATTCATCACCTGCAAAGAACGGTGCAGGTTTGGGAATCTCCCTAACATCCTCAGCTGTGATGACTGAAGCAAAGAAATCATTTAGTCTCTCCGTGTGGAACCCGAGGTCAGCTGCCGCTTTGAAATGCCACCTCGGTGTTTCAAAGGGGCAGCGCCACACGGAGCGCAGGGTCAGCTCCTTGTGGCGCTGCTTTGAAATGTTGCCATAGCATTTCAAATCAGCAGTGCTGCATGGAGTCCAGGTATGGGTTCCGTGCAGCGCTGCCGCTTTGAAGTACCCTCCCCTTTGCTGCCTCTGTCTGATAGAGGCAGCAAGAGGGGAGGGAATCGACTAGTTGACTGGACTATCTAATAAGCTTTTGCTTATTGGCTGCTCGACTAGTTGACTATTCCTTAACATCCTTACTTCAAAGTAGCTTAGCCATGTTGAATACTGTGCCCTATGGGGAGCTGAGCTGTGTCCAGACTCTAGGGCTACCTCAGCACTTCCAAGGGACTGAATGAGAATGGAAAAGTGTTTGACGGGTAAAGAATGAGCAGCATTGCTTTGCTATTACTTATGCAGGAAGACTTTCTTTTCCCTGGCAGCGAGGGAAATATCCCTAAATCCTTCTGGTGGGTTGGGTTGGGGAGATCTGGTTGTAACGACTGTTTAACTGAGGGGGAGCTCACATTCCACCACATACTGCCTTCTTATAACTTGCTCCAGACTTCAAAATTGTATAAGGATGGCAGGTTTTTGAGGGTCACAGTAGCTGAAGAAGGGGAGTAGGCTAAAGATCTGAGGAGGTGTGGAAACCTGATTGCCCAGTTGCCAGCTCCCCCTATTTCCTCAACAGAAGGAGTGCAAGATAGTTGTGGCAAGGTCTATGACAGCCTAAGGAGAAATGAAAAGAGTGAAATCCGCTTTCAGTCTGCTTTCTCTGATCCTTTTACAAAGGGGAGTAACAGCTAGGCAGTCTGGCTACATCTGCAGAGGAGATCTCTCTCTCGTGTCCTCAAAGGGGCTTCCTTTCTTCACATTGCATACATGTGACTTCCAAATCTTTGCCTGCAGAAGATAGAGTGGGGTAGGAGTGAGGTATTTTTCAGTGTGAAATTGTCCTGGCTCATAGGTTGATGAAACACTTCTAAGGAATGTGGGACACCATTTATTTTTTTAACCAGTGGGGAATGTGTGTAGTAGTTACCAGTCAGGGGCAGGGTGTCCATTGTGCTATATATCTCATTTCTAACAGAACTCCACTTGTTGGACTGTCATCCAGACAGCAAGTTCCCATATGTTTCAAGCCAGTGTGGATTCCTGGCTTCAGCAATGGAGGTGGGGGGAGAGGCATGAGACTTTAGCCTTGCAGGGCTTAGAGCTTCTGAACTTCAACGACTGGGTGGGGGAGAGCTGGAGCTTCCACTCTGAGGTAGGGAGTCTGGGCTTCGGCCCAGCAGGGGCACCATGCCTTGTGGCTGAAGACTCATGGCTCTGCTCCCAGCTTCAGCTCTGGTTTTAGCCCCATGGGGAGCTGGGAGCTGAGGCCCCATGCTTCAGCTGCAGAGCTCTATGGCCCTTGTAATCAGCTCCTGGCCTCCTGGGGGCCTTGGACCCCTGATTGAGAACTGCTGCTTTAAAGATCAAGAGTATGAATGGTGCCTGTAATCGGGATCTTTAGGCACAATCACAATGTGTGGGTCAGCTGCTTAGCACTCCAGAGAACTAAGACGACTTGATCCAACTGTCCAGCTTTTGGCACCAGTGACAACCAACCAGACATTCCCATATCTTAAACTCTAGCTATGGGGATAATCTGGATTTACCTCTTCTGGTGCGTATGATAGGCATAGCATATAACACACAGAAGCAACACTGGGTTTTAAAACATCATTGCTCTTGACTTAGAGAGCACAAAAGTGTACATATCATTTAAAAAACAACGAAGACCGTACCACACTGCCTCTCCCATTGTAGCTCACTCTTCTTTTATAAAACTGTGTGGAAGTGTTTTGTGGTACTGTCTTCTTTGTCCACTATATATCTTGTAAAAGAAAAACGGACCAATCCTGGTCACCTGTTAGGCACAGTTGCCCCATCCTCTAAGTGTAAGAGCAACCTAGAAATCATCAACAGCAATGTACAAAAACACTTGAGATGTGGTTCCTGCCTCAGAGGACTTGGCATGTGAATGAGTGAGACATGGGTGGGGGAAAGAGATGCTATACAAGAAGAATGGTCAGGCTGCTGACTGCCAAGGGTCCTCTTAGTTTCACTTATTCAGAAGATGACTTACTGAGATTATAGGAGTGAAGGAAAGGAGGGATGGGACATTGAGGGGATGGTGGAAAAGGATGGGACAAGGGGAAAAATGGAAGAGAATGATGGAGAGAGGAGCATGGAAGGTGAATCTGGTAGTTAAGGTACTGTGAATGGCACGAGAGAGAATGGAAAAAACAACCAAGCAGCAGGGAAAAGGATGTCGGAGTCCAAACCAAAGCTATTCTCTAGTCCTGTATTTGGGGATGAGAGGCTGCAAACCAGCATCTGCTATTGACCCACATCTTTTCCGTCTAGCTGCTTGGCTGTTCCCCAGGTTTCTTTGTACATTGGGAACTATATGATCCTCACTTTAGCCTAGCCTGTCTTTTGGAAGAATGTGTTTAGTCTATCAATGAGATTTTTTTTTTTGTCCAAAATCCTTAACAAATGTTCACACTTAAAACCTCCTCCTCCTCCTTCCCTGCCACAGTCTTCCCAGCTTGGGAAACAAGAAATTCAGATGCAGATCAGCCTTACTTTCTTGGCCTGGGCCAACTGATTAGTTCTGTGCCGTTTCCCACTCAGTGTCTGGTTACAGGGCTCAGAAAAACATGCATGCAACATTCACATTGTGCTGCCATTTCTTTCCCCTCCAAGTTCCCTAGCAACTTACTATCACAAGAACTATGAGCTCTTGAACAGCTGCCTGCAAAGGAGGATCTTGTCGAATAGTCCAGTTCCTCAGAGATCAAATGGATGTCAGGCAGGTGACAAAATGCTGGGGCCAGAATTAGAGGAAAGCAGCATGGCACATTAATCCTGTTGCTCCTGTTCCAGGTATTAGGGAATTGATCAATTCCATGGAAATCCTTTTCCTGTTCCAATCCCATGTCTGCAATGTTGTTTTAAAAAGTGCATAAGTTGCATAGATATTAACTATCTCCAACATTAAAGTCTTGTGCTAGGGCTTCACTATCATGCCAACTTATTGACTGTCACATTTGTGTACCATATTTCTTGTAAGTAGTGTCCCAAAATGAGAGTGTGTGCTCTATAGAATGAAATAAAATCAGTCTTGGAATTGGGAAGCTGCTGTCAGTCTGACCTGCCAGAAAGAGGTTCTTATAGCACATGTAAAACATTCTGAGTGAGAGAGTATTTTAGAAGATAGGATGAGTAGCTGTTTTTAAACAGTGATTTGCAAAGTGGTGGAGCATCAGTAAAGGGAAGTTAGTGGGAGGCTGTGAAAATGGTAGGAAATACAGAGAAGAAAGATCTTACACCCACGTAGGCATTATGTGCGAGTACAGAGATAAAGCTAGTGCTAGATGAGTAGATGGAGAGACTACGAGAGTGCGTCTACACTGCACCATTATTTCAAGATAACTAGCATTATTCCAAAATAACAATGCGAGCATCTACACAGCAATTCCGTTATTTCGAAATATAATTGAAATAATGGGTGGCTTATTCTGACTTCTGTAAACTTCATTCTGCGAGGAATAATGCCTCTTCCGAAACAGCTATTTTGAAATAGTTGCAGTGTGGACGCTCCACTGCTGCTATTTTAAAATAGCTCCTCACTATGCTTCTTGGGGCTCTAAATCAAAATAGCATGTCCACATTAGTGGAGCCTGTCTAGGACTAATTTTGAGGCTTCCCTGTAGTGTGGACGCTATATTCCGAAATAAGCTATTTTGGAATGTATCTTCCAAAATAGCTTATTTCAAAATAAGCGTGCAGTGTAGGTGTACCCTGATGGTTTAAAAAAAAAAAAATTGACATCCATCTGGCAGACCAGAACAGTGAATGGACGGTTTTAAAAGCAAGGAGGGTGAACTTGTGTGTTAAACAGGATCTGGGAAACAAAACAGAGTTAGTGAAAGTGTCGGAAAATGGGGAGATTTGAGTGCTGCTTTATGCGTGTGTGTGGAGAAACGTAAGTAGCATAATTCTGTACATTCTGGAGTCTGGACAGCTAGGTCTTGGGGAGGCAAGTGTCTCTAATTCTTCTTCTCTGTTCTGCCTTTGTCTGCTGATCCTGTCTGTTCCCTTCCCTGTCTCATCCTTCTTTAAGTTTTTCCTGGGACTAGTTTTCTGGACTCTCTGAGAATTGTTAGTGTCTTCAGCTTCCATTCTAGGGAAGCCAGACTACCATATGAGAGGGAATCTGAGCTGGAGGAATCAGTAAGTCTCGGATGAGTCAGCTAATGGAAGTATCACAACAGATGCTTAAATTGGGCATTCTCTGGGCTCTCTGGTGCATTATCATGTATGAAAATGACATTTGTGTTTTCAGAGCTGTATGGTTTTGATGTCCTTATTGATGCTACTCTCAAGCCCTGGCTACTGGAGGTGAACTTATCCCCATCTCTGGCCTGGTAAGTGATTCCCAGCTTCAAAAAAATGGAAAGGTTGGGACCTCAATACAGTTAGTGGAATCTCTGGCCACACCAAGTGCATGACCTGAGAGGGCATAGCTGAGTGAAATCCTTTGTATAGTGAGTGTTATTGCAATACAAATGTTAAAGAGTAACCATCATCCATATAAAATGACAGCTCAATGGATGCTAAGGAGCAGTGAACAAATGATTAGAGAAAGTAGATGGATCCTGAAGAGCTCAGACAGATGCGGGATCAGATATAAGGGGAAATGCAAAACATGTATGCACATAGTTTAACTGATATTCATATGGACTAAAAGGCTTAGCCTCTGAGGCCTTGGGCAGCCTGGTTCTTCATTGTAGTACCATTAAGATACCATACTCTGCAGTGCTGTGGAAAATGAATGGGGTACAGAGGCTGGCACCAATGGCAAAGCAGGAGAGAGGAAGGAATGCAATAATACTAGACTAGGTATGCAGGCATATGTATACATGGAACATTGGAGCAGAAAAGTAATTTCAGTGGCCGCATTCTGGATGGATTTAAAATACAGTAAGTCCCCGGGTTACGTCAATCCGACGTAAGTTGGACCCCTAGTTATGAATGGGGGGGGGGGGCGCAGCTAGTGCGGGGTGCCTTCCCCACTATTGCTGCCTCCGGCGGTGCGGGAGGCGCTTCCCCCCAGCAGACCAGGCTTTTCTTGCCGACGCCTGGGGTAGAGCAGCTGGGGCGCTGCCGGGTTGGTCCCCGCAGCGCCGCACCTCGGGGCTGCGGGGACCAACCTGGCAGCACCCCAGCTGCTCTACCCCAGGCGTCGGCAAGAAAAGCCTGGTCTGCTGGCGGGAGGAGGGGGGCGCACTAGCTGCGCCTCCCCCCAGCAGACCAGGGAGACGCGGAGCGGCTTTTCTCGCCGCGGAAGACATGGGCGGCGAGACCGCCGAGACGTGCCGCAGTCCCGCCGCCCGCGTCCTCCGCGGCGAGAAAAGCCGTTCCGCGTCTCCCTGGTCTGCTGGGGGGAGGCGCAGCTAGTGCGCCCCCCTCCTCCCGCCAGCAGACCAGGCTTTTCTTGCCGACGCCTGGGGTAGAGCAGCTGGGGCGCTGCCGGGTTGGTCCCCGCAGCGCCGCACCTCGGGGCTGCGGGGACCAACCTGGCAGCACCCCAGCTGCTCTACCCCAGGTGTCCCCAAGTCAGCTGCTGCTGAAACTGATCAGCGGCTGATTCCAGGAACCCCGGGGCAAAGCAGCTCTGCCTCGGGCTTCCTGTAGTCAGTCGCTGGTCAGTTTCAGCAGCGGCTGAATCAGGGACACCTGGGGTACAATATGTACCAGTTCCGACTTACCTACAAATTCAACTTAAGAACAAACCTACAGTCCCTATCTTGTACGTAACCCGGGGACTGCCTGTATAGGCAAAATGGGTATTGGGGAGGCCAGAAAGAAGGATGTTCCAGTAACACGCAAGAAGCAATACACACAGCATTTCATAGCTGCCGGGAGAGGGAGGAAGGAACAGATCTCTGATGCACTGTGAATTTGGAAACAACTTGTGTGAGAGGATAGGAAAAATCCAAAGGCAAATAGGATGTCAGGCAATGAGCTATTAGCAGTAGTAACAAAGAAATAGCCAGAAAGTAAAATGGAACCCCCTCTGGACTCCTCCAGGATCCCTGTTACATCCAGGTCACAATGAGAAGGAACAGCAAAGAATATCCACTCCGTAAGCCCATTAATAATGGATCATTCTGAAGTGTGTTGTAGAGATACATGTAAAGGCAGTCTCTTCCCAAGAAAAGCTGACGCCCTTCCCCAAATGATGCCTGAAGGGAATGCGGAGAGGATAATAATTGAACAGATACAGTGCTTAGAGGTAGACATAATTCATCCACTATTTTTGTGATACAGATATAGCCAACTAGACTTTCCCCATACCTTTCATTCTGTTTGTACTTCCTTGAGTACTGATCCACTCATAATATGAAAGGGAATCTGTTAGGCATTGATACTTTCCGCTAATTGCCAAATAACTGACTCCTCCTGTCTCTTGTTGCATACGGGGACAGCGATGCTCCTTTGGACCTGAAGATCAAAGCTAGCATGATTTCGGACATGTTTACCCTTGTAGGTGAGTGCAGTAGGAACTTCAATTTAACTCTTTAACTTCATGCTAAGGGTGCAGTTTTGTGTGGTATATTGTATTAGGCTTGGGTAGATGTGTTCAGTTTTGAGATTTGTATGTGGTATAATGGATGAAGGTGTTGAAGAGTGGAATCATTGCCTTCTGGGGATGGTGAGTGTATTCAGTTGCACAGATGGAACTGTGAGTAGGTCAATATGAATGAATTGGATAGGTATATATGTTAAGGGTGTATCAGTAAGTGTTCTGAATTGTCACATGTATTTAGACAGATGGTGAGTTGGTGTGTTGGTCTGTAGAACAAGGTGATTTGTGGAGGAGTGATGTGTGAATGTTCAGTGGCAGGTCAGGATGTAATTAGTTGTAGAAATGGCGGTGAATGTGTTAGATGTGAAGGGGACTGTTGTGTAAGCTGAGTAACTCCTTCTCTTAATGTGTTGAAATCTTTTGTTTGGTTTGTGAAAGTTGTCTGTTTCCTTGACTCCCCCAAATGAGTGATACCCTACTCAAGGGAATTAAGAAATGAAAAAATGTTTGTAGGGTTGAATGCTACAAAGGGAAGCCAGTATTAGTAAGCTGTGATTAGGCTATACAAATGTGGAATTGTGGGTGTGAAAATCTGAATGATTGTAATGTGTAGAAGTGTTTGCTAGGAGGGCACCCTCCTGATAATATTTTACATTTCTCTGAAGGGTGATGTGGGGTAGAGGGCTGGTTTGGTTTTTGGTATCTTAACTCTTTTGATCTGAAAAGAGGCAGAAGAATGCCACTGATGTGTCATGCTTAGCCACTGAATGGAAGAGGACACTCCTCTATGTTGTTTAGCAGCCCTTCTTTTTAAGTGCTAGTTTTTCAGGGGCATTCTTTCTGTTTCTCAGTCAGAAATATAATGCAATGGAAGGAAAGGGAGGAGATTCAAGAGTTACATAGAACAAGGCATACAGAGGAAAAGAGACTCTTTGGGATTTGGTCAGGTAGACGCACATCCCTGGTTAGTGGTTTATAAAACTGTTGTTAGGAATGATAGATTGGTGATACAGGGCTGCCCAACCCTCCCAGAAATTGAAGGTGGTTCCTGGGATAGTGCTCCACTTTATAAGTGCATGCCTTCTACACAGCTTCAGTTGGAAATTTTCATTAGTAGTGTCCATTCAACCCATGCATGAGCCCTACACTCTCTCATGCCCCAAACCGAGACTATGTAGGGCTTCCTGGATGAATTGTCCTCGGTTTCTTACTCCTTTTCTCAGCCTGAGATGGACCTTTTGCATGTCTGCCTTGTATGTGCTTCAACAAAAAGTTATTTTTCCTCCTCCTAGTGAGTTTAGTTTTGAGATAGTTTGCTACTTAGTTTAGTAGTTGGGAGGATTTGTTTTGTTCCTGTTCCCTCCCTCTGGGAAGTCTTGCCTTCCTTGGGAAAGGCACACCCAGTTCACCTGGATTCAAATGTTGCCTTACTTGCTGAGAGGCCATTCTGATTAGCAACATCTACTCCGAATGTGTTCACTGCTTTGGAGATTTTCACATACCTCCAAAAACATAACTTCTGTCTGATCCTTAAAGCAAGAACTGGGAGATGAATTTGAGACTGCTAATGATAGAGCTTTCCCTTTTCCCTGCTTCAGAGCCAGGTGAGGAAACATCCCCTTCAGCCAGCACATCAGTCTCTGGATAGATCCAGCATCCCTTTGATCTTGGTTCAGCTGCCCCCCACAAAGGGGAAGACTCCAGGGAGTTCCTTGAAGGGTTCCAAGATTAGAGTGTGTCCAATTTCTTTCTTAAGGAGCATGTTCCTACTAAGACTTCTGTCTCCCAGTTGTTCAGCTATCTCAGAAGCTTCAATTTTTTTGGCCATAGAGGAAAAGGATTATTTTGGTAGCTGCAAGGCTGGATAGCGCTGAAGCTCTTCCAAGAACAAACACTTAATTGACTAAGCACTTCTCATTGTTCTGAGAAGTGGGCAAGAGGAACCATTTCTCCAGGCCAGTATTGTTGAATGTACAGCTTTCCTGACAGCACCTTATCTGATGGTTTCCTCGGTACTAAGTAAGCCTAAGTATCCAATTCCCCTGACACTGACCTTAGAGTACTCTGAATTTTCAGTACCTCTTATCTCTGTAGATACAAATACCATCATGTTGGTACTATCTGTCCGTTGGTGCCACAAATATTTTGGTACCTGACGGGTGATATATCAGCAGCAGGTGAACCCGAATCTCCAGCACTCATGGGTCCTGAGTGCCATTAGTAATCATGACCCATTCAGTCAATGGACTCCCATCTATCTCCAATACTCCCTAATTCACCACCTTTTATTGCTGGAACTCACACACTGGACGATCTCAAGGATGGTAATGGAGACCTTTAACTTTTCAGTGTCTTTTTTCTCTCAGAGCAAAGTTCTACCATCTGGGTTCCTATGCAGACAATCTTATCACTCACAGACACAGAGAGAGGAATTTTGGGGAAGATATCATGGATGGTGGGGGCAACTGTGGATGTTACCCCTTCTCCTGTATGTATACACTTACGGTACATCTACACTGTGATGCTATTTTGGGATACTTCTGGGATCCCAAAATAGCTATTCTGTGTCTTTGAAACAAGCCCATTATTTCAAAATATAACAGGCTCGCTATTCCGATGTCCCTGTAAATCTTGTTCTACAAGGATTGTTGGAACATGCTTCTGCTCTTGTTTAGCAAGTGCCCTTTCACAATTACCCAGCATTAAACTTGTTTGTTCTAGTAGCATAGTTATGGTTCTTATCAGTTTTCTTTGTTTAAATAGTAAAGTGGTGTTTCTTGGGTTAAGGACCCACCGTGGCAAGGCGTGCCCAGGCCGCAAGGCTTCAAGCCCCGTGAGAAGTGCCAGAGGCCTATGTCTTGTAGTGAGCCGTGTTCTGCCTGCCTTAAGTGCATGGGTGAGGCCCTCTTGTCTGAGGCCTGTTAAATCCGTAAGGCGTTCAAGCCGTGCATTAAGTGGGAGAGAGAGTCACGCCTAAATATCATCCTAATGGAGAAGGTTTTGCAGCCCACACTGGCCTCTGACCCGGCGCTGGTGACCCAGAGCACACCAGCCTCAGTGTGGGAAAGCTCAAGCCATTTGCATGCCTCAGTGGCACTGCACAGACCCTGGCATCGCTCCCAGTTCCCGGTGCCTCAGGAAAAAAAGGAGGCCCAGCAGGGGTCGATCTCCTCCATGGCACGTGCCCTCTGTGCGCCCTCAAGTAGGGCATGTGGCACCATCGAGCGCCAAGCCTTGACCATCTCAGCTGGGCAAACAGCCTAGTCTGCACTGGGACCCCAGTCCATTGGGGGACATCCCAGAACCTTTGACCCCCAAGGCCTTCAAAGCAGTTAGGACTTACTTGAATTATCCCCCTCTCCTACTTTGGCACCAGCCTCAGTCAAGGATTGAGACCCCAGTCAGCACCGATCGGAGGTTAGGGCACCCAGTGCCCTGGCACCAGAATTGAGGGAAACACCGATCTGGTGCTGTCTCACCAATGGCATTGCCTGCAGCACCAGCACCAGCGGCAATCTTAACACCGGCCCATGCCTCAGCACTGGACCCAGCACCGGGACAAGGTCCTCAAGCAGCACCGAGTACGGCACTGGCCACCGCGACCCCCAGCTCTGCCCAGGGCTCAACACTGGGCCTGGGTCCAACCATGCCTTCTCCTCCTTCCCCCGCGTCGGCACTAAGGCAAGCTGGAGTCAATGGCCCAACATGCACCAACAGCAGGGTCACCTACTGTGCCTGAGCTCCACCCTGAGCTCCAAGGCCTGAGCTCCACCCTGGTCGGCCTTGAAGTCCTCAGCTGATTCAGAAGCAGAATCCACATGGACGTCTAGGGGATCCAGATCCTGGTCTAGGTCCTATTCCCATCACCATTCACAGTACCTCTGCTCATTAGCAACAGCACCAGTGGGCACAGCCAGTCCTGGCACCGGGGATGCAGCAATCATGGCCCCCACTGGCACCAACTCCTTCTCAGTGGCCATTTTGGACCCCATGGGCCTACCACCAGAGCCAGGGTGCGGGCCCTTCTAGGCTGGAGTCTATCTTCTCTGGTTCCAGGGCACCTCCTTCGGTGACCCCATTGACTTGGTCCCCCACGTCGGAGCAGTCGCTCCCACTAAGCCAGACCTCCCCACATCCTTTGGAGACTGAGGGCCGCAGAGTCTAACCCTCGTCTGTGGCCTCTCAAGACCCTTTGCAGGACATGGCCTCCACAGAGACAGACCCGAAGGGATGGTCCTCTTCCTCTCCAGATGAAGCCCTGGGTGACACTTTCCCCTCCATGGACTCGAGGGCACACCAAGACCTCCTTCGCTGTCTGGCCCAAAGCCTGGGAGTCCAGGCTGCGAGGGTGTCGGAGGACTCTGACCCCACCACCAACATCTTGCAACCCGACACACCTACCAGAGTGGTCCTCTTCATCAACAAAACAGTGGCCAAAATCTCTAAGTCCTTCTGGCATACTGCAGCCTCGATTCCACCAATGGACAAGAGGGCCGAGCAGTGGTATTTTGTTTCCCAGGAGGGGAACAAATACCTCTTCTCTCATTCGCTTCCAGGGTCGCTGGTTGTCTAGGCCCCAGCCCCAATTGCCAGCCCCAGCCACCGGCCGGCTGGATCTAAGCACCGCGCTGCACAGCCATGCCCAACTCCTGGTCAGCCGAATCTAAACGCCGTGCGGCTGCCAACAGATGGGCCCAGCCCCTGGCCAGCTGGATCTAAGTCCCACAACCCCCTGGGAAGACATCTGCGACCCCCTTGGGGGTCGCGACCCACAGCTTGCGCACCACTAGTCTAGGTGGTCAACCAGAGGGAGATGCAGGGCCAGGCAGCTGCCATGCCTAAGAACAGGGATGCCAAAAAGATGGACCTGTTAGGAAGAAAGGCCTATGCATCCAGAAGCCTTCAGTTTCACATTGCGATCCAGGAAGTTCTGCTGTCCCGCTATTGCTACAGCACCTGGG